AGTCATGGATAATTTAGGCATCTAACACTTTAAATCCAGCACGTACCATCTTGAGTCCCAAGGAGCATTGGAAATGTGGCATCAGACCCTAAAGACCATGCTGATGGCTTATGGCCAGGATTACTCAAATGTTTGGGATAAGAGTATCCCATTTATATTGTTTGCCATGAGAGATGCTCCAAATGAATCAACTGAATTTACTCCATTTGAATTGATATTTGGACACAAAGTAAGAGGGTCTTTAAAATTAATTAAGGAAAAGTTGATAGGTCCAAAGTCAGAGATCTCAAAGTTGGATTATGCATCTGAAGTGACAAAGATTAAACAGAGTAGGTGAATTAGCTAGTCAACATTTGAAGGTGGCACAGCGCCTAATGAAGCAAGAAGCAGATAAGAAATCTAAAATTTGTTTGTTTGCCCATGGGGATAAAGTTTTGGTGCTGTTACCATTGGTAGGAGATCCCTTTGAAGCAAGGTTTAGTGGTCCACATCAGATTGAGAAGAAGTTAAGTCAGGTGAATTATCTGGTAAAGATGCCAGTTAAGAAAAAAATTTTATCAGGTATGGCATATGAACATGCTGAAACCTTACAATGACAGGGAAAGGGGACAAGAGAAACAGGTATTAGTTACTGCCCCTCAGAGTGAGGAATCAAATCCAGATGCTTTGGTTTTTAATATGCCTCAGAATAAATTGAATAATGAGGAGGTCCTTAAGTAATGGGATATAATACTGAGCTCTCTGTCCCAGGAACAGAGAACTGAATTGAATGACTTGTTGCAGTGCAATGAGGACAGATGTAGAAATAGAATGGGGAAGACTAACACGCTAGTGCGTGACATTGGCAGAGGGAATGCTGTTCCGATAAAACTACACACCTACAGGCTTAATCCTCTTAAAGCAATGCAGTTTCAGAACAAAGTGGAAGCAATGCTCCAAGAAGACATCAAAGAGCCAAGTCAAAGTGAGTGGAGTTCGCCGATCATGTTGGTTCCCAACCCTGATGGTACTCCATGATTTTGCGTAGATTATCAGAAAGTCAGTAGTGGACAAATCTCATTCATACCCAATTCAAGGCTGGAGGACTGTGTAGAAAAAGTAGGACAAGCCACTTACATCACAAAGCTGGATTTTCTTCATGGTTATTGGCAAGTACATTAGTTGGAGAAAGCGAAAGAGCTTTCTACAAAACTGCTTTTGTAACCCCAAATGGGCTATATCAATTTAAAGTAATGCCCTTTGGAATGAAAAACACACCAGCTACTTTTTAAAAACTTATGAACAGAGTTGTTGCAGGATTGACTAACTGTGCATCTCCAAAGACAGCTTAGTGATTGTTAGCCATTTGTGGAAAAATCATGGAACATTAGGCAGAGCTCTTTGAGAGACTACAGAAGGCAAAGTTGGTCATGGACTTGGCAAAAACAGAATTTATGAAGATGGAAGTGACATTTTTAGAGCACAACATCGGATACAATGGATGACACCGAGGAATAAGGTGGCAAAGGCCACTGAAAAGTTCCCAACACCATCCTTAAAGAAGGAAGTGCTGCGATTTTTAGGATTGAGCGGATTCTACAGAAAATTTGTACCAAACTTTAGTAATATTGTAGCATCATTGATGGATTTGTTAAAAAGGAACGTGAAATTTTGGTGGACAGAACAATGCCAGGAGGCATTTGAGAATATATAAGCAATGTTAATGACCGCACCAGTTTTAGCCATGCCAAATTTTTAAAAACACTTTGAAGTTGCCATTGACGCAAGCGGTGAAGGTGTTGGAGCTATGTTGTTACAGGAGGACGATTGTGGAATTGAAAGGCCAATGCAATATTTTTCGACGAAACCCAATATCCACCAGAGAAAATATTCAACCGTTGAAAAAGAGTTATGGAGTTTGGTACTGGCCTCACGACATTTTAATATTTACATTGCAAACAATGCATCATAGATGATTGTGTATGCTGAGCATAATCCTTTGACATTTCTGGAAAGATTTAAGGATAAGAACACCTGACTATTTCATTGGAGTATTATGTTATAAGCATTTAATTTACAGAGTGCACACGTTGCTGTTAATGAAGATGTTATTGCAGACGCTTTATCACAGGTTTAAAAGAAAAATGTCTGTACAAGATAGACATGCAAGTGTTCAATGTTTTATATAAAAATATGCACCTCTAGATTAATGAGCTATGAATCTAGCAATATAATCAAGTTAAGGTTTTAAGAAAAATGAAACCATCTTTTCATAATGATGGTTCAACTTTTTTTTTTAAGTGGAGGGAGGTGTTGCAAAGTTGGGTATGTGTGGGTTGGGAGGCAGGACGTTAGAATTTGGTGTTTGTAAAATGCTGCGGGGGGTGGGGAAGGGGAGGAGCATTATGCGGTCCCTTTAAAAGATTGTGCTTTTTCAATGCTTGGAGATGTTTGTGAGCAGCTTGAAAGTTTGCAAGTGCACACAGCACCCAAATTGAAACATTTGTCTCATTAGAAGGCCAAGCAACATTTTTACCAAAACGACAGGTTTTCGATTTTAGCCAATCTGAATCGAATGGTTTTGTTAATCTAGGACCAATCCGATTGTAAGAAACTGATATGTCATCAGGGATATAAGAGAAGTGGGCAGTTGGACAAAGACAGAAGAACTAATTGCCATCTCCCAGAGTTAACAGTTCTCCAGAGAGAATCGCTGGCCGTCACAAACTCCCATAAGTCTTAGAGAAAGCACCTTCTAAATATCAAAGGTATCAAAGGTACCAATGGCACAACTAGTTAATAATCCTAACAGATGAATCGAAGGAGGTGGTGTTCCTGATCGAACATTCGAAGGAGAAGGCACAGAGCATTCCAGAAGACACATAATCTGGCTGTAATTTCAAGAGACTAAATTCTACTTTTCAAAAAATAGTTGTATTTATTGGAACAGCATACTTTTAGAATCTTGTTTTATTCTGTAATAGTTATAGTTAGAAGGGTTTTATTTGGTTTGCTAATAGTTTAGTTAATTTGTTCACTGCTCGAGTTAGATAATAAATTTTTACTTGTTGATCGTAAAAAGTGAGTGTCAGGGGTTCATTTTGTTTAACCTCTAGAAGTTGCTGAAAGGCAAGTTATACCACTTTCCACACTCCTTTTACAGATTATAGGGCAAGGTGCTTCTCTCTGGGTGTTTTGGTTTTACTCCACAGAGTGGGGGTCAAACTCTGCTTTATAACATGTAGTACCAGGAATGCTGCAAACCTGTGATAGATTAACAGTTATAGCTTGTATATTCCACTATAATTGAACAATATTAGGCATTCACAACATCACCCATTATTTGACCACAGGTGCCTGTATTCTAATCTAAAGTACCAGGACCTAAATGACAAAGAATCTCTTCAAAACCATCACAGATGAACATTCTAGTACGCAATTAATTTTCAGCATCAGCAGAAATTGACAGCCAGAAGTGAAAAATTTCAGAAAATAATTTTAGCTGAAAAGGAGCCAGCGACATTGTAAGCGGATGAGTGCTGACACAAGTGACATGCTCAGAATCTCCTGCCAAGAAGCAGCTCTGCTAGTTGTTCAGCCCTATACCTGGTGATGAAAAATTTAATTATCTCCACTCCACTGCCTTCCGTTCCCACCATCCACCCCAATGAAGCAGATGACCACTCCCAGGCTTCTACCAATCCAGCTATGCAATTAGTATTAACAGAAATAATTTAGGCAGTCATATTGCAATTCATCTAACACCGAAGACATATCTGGCTTTTGTTTTGAAACTGTGCACAATGGCCCACCGAAAATTGAATGCAGTCACACATGCATCAGCAACCAATGAATAGTTACTTATCAGTTAAATTAGGTTTCACCGTTAACATAACTTCTAACAGCAACTTATGTTGTTCTTCCTAATTAACAGAATTTAACAGCATTTGGACCAGTATCCTTATCATACATAGCCAGTTTCTCCTCGCTTTTTTTAAAAACTGTACAACTTTCCTGTTTTTCAGCAACATCCTAATTGTCTCAAAAAGAATTCATAGATTGAACAAAACGTCACTGAAAGGAAATTACAAATTCTTTTCAATCTGTGCACAAATGTACAATTTCTTATCACATCTTTAATTCAGTTGTGAGCCAAGGGGTCCCTCCCAAAGATCAAGGCAGACCACGCTAGCTTTTCTTCTACTGCCTTTCTCCTCCACCCACCCTTAACTTACTTACCTGAGGGCCAGCTATGGTGAGATGAACACACTGGATAGTTTGAAACTGGTGAGTCAAACTTTGTGAAAAACAGACAGATGACTTGATCAGCAAGAGATTAGTTTGACACTGGGAACAAAAATTAAAATTACCATCCAGGAGTGGCAGCAAACTTCTGGGTGTCACCATAATATGACAGTGCTAGGATAATGAGCTAGTCTATCTCTCTCTCTCATAACCACTCAAGAAGTTGCATATTATTTAATCAACAATTAATACAAGCTGCTACTCATGGATGTTTTTAAAAATGTACTTTGCAAAGCTTATACATCATGTCATGTGTTTCTTGTTCAATTGCCAATATTGATATCAGTGAATTTACCCATTTCCCACAAGTCATGTTTGTTCACTGTGTGGACAAGTTTTCCTGAAACCTAGTTAGCGGATTTATTCTTTGGTTGTATGATCTGCAGTTCAAACAAGAGCTAAATTATCCCATAATCTACATTACAATTGAGATGAAGAGGACAACTGCAAAGACAGGTGCACTTTTGTATTTCATTATAACATCCATTACCGGAACAAGAATTAGAACACAAAGATAGATCATGCACCCTTATACTGTACATGTACAAGACACAATGCTGCTCAGTGTTACTGGTAGAATTTTCAATCTTAGATATTGTCAAAATTAATTTGTACCAAATTACTACACAAGCATCTGCATAATGTATCAAATTAAAACGGTCATAAGTAGTAATTCAAAGTGTTCAAAGGTTTGGTTCAATTATTTTTGCTCTTACCCTCTTGTGCCACTTCCCACAGATCAAATGCAATTCTGAAGGCCTGTGCAACAGTTAAGGTCACAGCTTGTGCCTGTATTAGAGAAAAACTAATGCTTGTTAATAAGCAACAGCAGCAATTCAAAATTACCTGCGTCTTAATAATTCTGATTTATGTCAAAGTAGCGGAGAAGAAAAGTTCTGAAACTTTAAATAAAAATTACTATCAATAATTATTTGATGTGAGTAGTGTGCCATACAACGTTCTTACAGTACATGTGAAGAGGTCATCTCAGAGTGCAAGACAGCCTTGGTCACATGGCCAACAGGCCGAAGTGTGGCAGATGGAGTTTAATTTAGATAAACGTGAGGTGCTGCATCTTGGTAGGGCAAATCAGGGCAGAGCTTGTACAGTTAATACGAGGGCCCTGGGGTATGTTGCTGAACAAAGAGACCTAGGGGTGCAGGTGAATAATTTCTTGAAAGTGGACTTGCAGGTAGACAGGGTGAAGAAGGAGTTTGACACACTTGCCTTCATTGGTCAGTGCACTGAGTAAAGGAACTGGGATGTCATGTTGTGGCTGAACAGGACATTGGTGAGGGCAACTTTTAGAATTCTGCATTCAATTTTGTCTCCTGCTGTAGGAAAGATGTTGTTGAACTAGAAAGGATTCAGAAAAGACTTACAGGGATGTTGCCGAGACTGGAGGGTTTGAGTTATAGGGAGAGGCTGAATAGGCTGGGCTATTTGCCCAGGAGCAGAGGCTGAGGGGTGACTTCATACAGGTTTATACTACCATGAGGGTCATGGATAGGGTGAATAGGCAAGGTGTTCTTCCCAGGGTAGGGGAGTCCAAAACTAGACGGCATAGGTTTAAGGTGAGAGGAGAAAGAATGAGAGGGGACCCGAGGGGCAACTTTTTCATGCAGAGGTGGAGTATGTATAGGATGAGCTTCCAGAGGAAGTGGTGGAGGTGGGTATAATTACAACATTTAAAAGGCATATGGATGTGTTAATGAATAGGAAGGGTTTAGAGGGATTTGGGCCAAATGTTGGCAAATGGGACTAGATAAGTTTAGGATATCTGGTTGGCATGGATGAGTTGGACCAAATAATCTGTTTCTGTGCCATGTTAACTATGACTCAAAGAGCTGATCTGATTTAGAATACCCACCAGCCTTGTCTCTTGTAACATAATGGTTTGCACTGTGGTGGTCAAATCTGTGTTAAGCATCACTTGATGTGGCTGTCACACTGTACTCTGGATTGGCAGTCTCTGTCATGTTTGCTACAAAGGCAGTGGGTTGAGAAACTGCATTATTTACTAGCTTCTTTTCTCTCAGGGACCTCTCAGCCAGCTGAAGTTTTTCAGTTTGCCTCTTCTAATGACTTTTGAAACAGTCAGCCTCCAGAGATCAAAGCTGAAAACGACCGTCTCCTAGATGTCAGTGTCAATGGCTGCCATCTTCAGGCCTTTCTTGCATATGTCATGTAGCAGAGAAATGGACATCCCAGAGGCAATAATCTATTGGCTAATTCACAATACAGAAGATCTTTATGGGTATACAGCCATCAATTATCTGATGAATGTGGCTGGGCAATGCAGGCATTGTGGTTCAGCAATGAGTGTTCGCTGATCCATCACCATAGCAATATGATGGGCAAGGTCAACTATGATAGGACACCATCAGAATCCTTGGAGATCTGTAATAATGTCAAACAGGTTGTTTTCTGCACCAACTCTTTGGCATATTTAACAATCTTTGGCATTCCTTGCTCCTGTTAGATGCCTTCAGATCATCTACACAGGTTATTTTTTTCCATATCTGAACTGATGAAAAGCTGTTCAGCTTTACTTGCTTGGGATTCAAAACAAACGTGCATCAAGTTCACATCACAGTTGTTCTACATGGTTATTGACACATTGGCATTCTGTATTGTGGAACACTTTCAGTGGCAAATGGACAGACTCTCTCATATCTGTAAAGAGTTTGGCTTGACTATCAGGAAGACAAAGGATGTAGTCCAAGATGTTGTCATCTTTCAGCATTGATAATGTGATACTAGAGATTACTTCACATGTCTAGGTTGTACAATCCCAGCAATCTATTACTTGAGCTGAAATCTGTAGCTGTTGTGTCTATTCTAAATAAGACTATGTGGAACACAACATAATGGGGAGATGGGGGCCTCGTGGTATTGTTGCTAGACAGTTAATTCAGAGACCCAGAGTGTGTTCTGGGGACACGGATTCAAATCCCACCATGGCAGATGGTGGAAATAACAATAAAAATCTGGAATTAAGGATCAAATGATGACCACAAAATAATTGTCAATGGTCAGAAAAACCCAATTGGTTGACAAATGTCCTTTAGGGAAGGAAACTGCTATCCTTTCCTGGTCTGGCCTACATGTGTTTCCAGACTCTCAGCAATGTGGTTAACTGTTAACTACCCTCTGGGTGATTAGGGATGGGCAATAAATGCTGGCCTAGCCAGACACGCTGTCATCCTGTGAATGAAAAAAAATCAGCATGGTGACAGAGTACACTAAATTGCAAGCCTGCATCCTCAGTGTACTCCTCTGTAGTAGCAAGAATTGGATGACATTTAAAAGGCAGGTGAAAAGGGCTGAACAGTTTCTACTTTTGCTGTCTCAAGCACAAATCTCCTGGCAGGGCAAGCTGAATAACTCAGAAATCCTGATGTCAGTGCTATCAAATTACAACATAAGCAACATAATAATTAATTCAATATGTATCACTGTCAAAAAGAGTCAGTTTGAATCTGTAGTAAATATGCTTTTGTTCAGCAAATACAAAAAAATCATGTCTCAAATTATCCATTAATTGTCATTCACAGGCATATGGTAAAGAAGTGGAGGCAAGCTAGATAGTTCAAAAGGAATGCATCAGTTTTTGCTCATATGGGGAAAAAAAGACAAGGGATCAAGATACTTTAGCTATTTTGTTACGCATACTTCTCCAGAAATAACAGCAAAGATTATTGTAGGTATAATGGAATGCCTTCACACCCAAGGGAGGAGCATCACTAAATGTAGGATGCTGAAATCATGGGAATCTGTTCCATACACTGACTAAATTTGAAGCTGACTGAGTAATGTAAGGATATAACTGCATAATGGAGAAATGTATACTGGGAAACTGTTCCATCATATCAATGGTGGATGAATTGCAATAGTTCTAATCTCCCAAAACCAAGATTAAATTTATACCAATGTGCCGAAATAGTTAAATGGTCTGCCTTTAATGTGAAAATTGACTTTTCATAGATTCTTTCTCAATGTCAACATCTTCAATCTTATAATCCCAGTAGTCAGGTTTGGCAGAGTTACATTTCACCTTTTGACCAGTTCATTACTCAGTATCAATTATATCAGCCACTAGATGGAGAGCAGGTTTAGCAATGAGGAAAAAGACAAAAGATTTAACAGGAAGCAGAATAAACATTTTAAACCATGAACAAATGAACTGTGCAAAAATGATAACACAAATGTGTCTTGCTGTAAATAACTGTTTAATATAGTGAAACAAGTCTGGAATCATTCAATTCCTTACTCAATTACTCCCCTTATTGACAACTTTGCACTGCACCAGATTCCATCACTGTTATTTCATGTCATTAGGCAATGCTCACTTTCCATTATTAACTTCAAACATCACTAATTGTGAAAAAAGCAAACAATGAGCTTGTTAGTGCTTACTGTAAAGTAATATCTCACCATACTATTTTGAAACTTACGATTTTTTTCTTTGGACAAAGAAATGCATGGCATTCCAATGTCTCATTTAGTTGACTCTGTGCAATGTATGCAAAGACCTTGTCCTGAGTCTTGTCTGCAGTGCAGTACGATATTCTGTTGGGAGAAAATTACTTGTAAGCACAAGATCAAATATCTCCGAAGTGTGGCCACTGTTGAAATGCAGGAAACCTTGCAGCCAATTTACAAAGCAAGTCTACAGAGAGACAAGGAATAAAAACTGAAAGAACTGCGGATACTGTAAACCAAGAACAAAAACAGAAGTTGCTGGAAAAGTTCAGCAGGTCTGGCAGCATCTGTGAAGAAAAAGAGATCAGAGTTAACGTTTCAGATCCAGTGACCCTACCTCAGAAGGAAGATCTGAGGACCCTTTTAAGGAAGGGTCGCAGATCCAAAACATTAACTCTGATTTTTTTCTTCACAGATGCTGCCGGACCTGCTGAGCTTTTCCAGCACCTTCTGTTTTTGTTTGGAATTAAATAAAGTTTGTCTGTATTAAGGATCAATTGATAAGCAGAACATTTGAAAAACTCCCATGCGGGTCTCTGGCACAAGGCTGTCAAGAGGCAAGAACATTGAGCACAATAACAGCAGATTTCATGACATAGTAGTTTGCAGGAATGCTGAAATAGGCGGACAAGGCAGATGTAATTTTATGTGCACTAAATTTCAAATGATACAGTTTGAAAGAAACAAGACGGAGAAGTACTATTATTTAAGTGATACAGCTTTGAAGGAAAATGACTGTCTTCCTCTATGTTCACATGTACCAGCATGAGGACGAGTGACAACAGCAATTTGGCAATAGATGTCAATGTCGATTTTGAAGGGGTACAAGAACAGAGGGAGCTGAGGTTGCAGTCCCTGAATGGTTAGAATGGCCTGCAGCTACAGCAAGGGACAAGCAGGCACCTTAGTTCTGCTGCAGACAGCTCAAATTAGCACTTTGAAGGGAGACTGCACAGACAGCAACTTATGAGTAGGTACAATAAAATGCCCTGTAACATGGCATTCTGGTTTTCTGCCAAGCTTGTCAATGTCAAGCTGCATGAAAGTGCTTAGCTTACCCACCTGGTACATTGTTTTGCATACAACTTGGAGTTTTGCCCTTTCATTATGGAAGTGGTGGCCAACCCCATTGACACACTTGACGAGCTAGCCATCATGAATCTGACGACTGCTATCTCAGCTCTTATTGCAACACAAGTAGTAGTCATTCTGGGTGCTGCAGCAGAATCTCAGGCCTCTGCAGTGCAAGTCGTGCTTGCTGCCAAGTTGGAGGGATAGGAAACAGGCTGGAGGTACAGTATGGGATGATGCATAGACACGTACAAAGGAACTGCTAAGTCAGTCTAGAAGACAATGGGAATATAGTCAGGTTAAAGTACAAGAGAGCATGGCAAGGCTGGACATCATTTATTTTAATGCAAGGAGCCACAGGTAAGGCAGATGAGTTGAGGGTATTGAATAATGCATGGAGATGTGGTATAATTGCAATCACAGAACCACGTTGAGGCAGGGACAGAACTGGCAGCTCAATATGTTGGAGTGTAGAATCTTTAAGCATGTAAAAGAGGACAATATTGATCAAGGAGTCTATTACTTCAAAAGGACGATATCTTAGAAGATTCCTCAAACAAGACCCTATGGGTAGAACTTAAAAACAAACAGGATCCAATCACTTTGGTGGGGGTGTACTATAGACAAATAGTCAGAGAGATAGAAGGATTAATTTGTAGGAAAATCTCAAATGTAAACATAACAGGGTAACAACAAAAGGGGATTTCAACTTCCCCAGTTTTAATTGACATTGTGGGAAGCTAGGAAAGACATTGTGGGACCCCTAGAGATATTTGTATCATTAACAGTCATAGGTTGGGTGCCAGAAGACTTGAGGGTGGCTAATGGTGTATCATTATTTAAGAAAAGCAGTAAGGAAAAGTCAGGGAACTACAGACTGGTGAGCCTAACATCAGTTGTGGGTAAGCTATTGGAGGGAATTCTGAGAGACAAGATCTACATGCATTTTGAAAGGCAAGGATGACTAGGGATAGTCAACATGGCTTTGTGCATGAAAAATCATGTCTCACAAATTTGATTGAGCTTTTTTGAAGAGGTGACCAAGAAGATAGATAAAGATAGAGCTGTAGACATTGTTTACATGGGCTTTAGCAAGGCCTTCGACAAGGTGCCACATGGTACATTGACTAGCATGGGATCCAGGGAAAGCCAACCAATTGGATACAAAATTGGCTTGACAGTAGAAGACAGATGGTGGTGGTGGAATGTTGTTGTTCAGACTGGAGACCTGTGACTGATGGTGTGCCGCAAGGACTGATGCTGGGTCCACTATTGTTAGTTATTTATACATGAATTATCTGGATGAGAATATAGGAGGCATTGTTGATAAATTTGCAGATGACACCAAAATTGGTGGTATAGTGGACAGGGAAGAAGGTTAAGAGTACAATGGAATCTTAGTGAACTGGACCAGTCAACCGAGGAATGGCAGATGGAGTTTAATTCAGAAAAATGCAAGGTGTCACAGTTTGGTAAGACAAACTAGGGCAGGACTTACACAATTAGTGGTAGAGCCCTGAGGAGTGTTGTCAAACAGACACACCTAGGGGTACAGTTACATAGATCCTTGAAAGTTGTCTCACAGGTAAAGGACTAGTGATGGTTAACTGACAGAAGTGACAACAGTACAAAACAAAATGAGGTATGATGAAAGAGAAACGAAGGACATAAAAAAGACTCAGAGGTGCATGAATACTTACAGCAGGTTACTAGAGTTAGACGGAAGTGCAGACATGACAGCCTGACAAAATGGAGCAGGCTCTATAGGCTCACAAGATAGGTTAAAGGATATGCTAACTTAAAACTTGGGACAACAGTTTTGCAGAATTGAGAAGAACATGGACTTTGAATGTGTTGAGCAGGCTGCAGTTGTGGATGCTCCACCTTTACTTCTGGCAGTGACAGGGGGTCAGAATGCAACTCACATCAGCAGTAACTTAGCAGAGCCCTTTGAAATATAAGCAGTGAATGTAAATACTCTTTAATAGATGGATAATGTCTTTTTAGACATAATGATCTTCAGTTTTATCCAAATTCCCTGCTATTTAAATATGAGAAACAAAGCAGCTACCAGTGAGATTAAAAAAACCACTCTGCCAAACTGCTTTAACGCATCAGCTAGTGTAGTTTGGAAACATGCCTAAGGACTATTATTACGTCATTATGAATGTTTGGCTGAGTTTTAAAAAGTTACAATTATCTCAGCAGGGGAGATAGAGTTTACTGTTTGCTTGACAAAGTAAAGAGTCTGTAATGAATCCAAAGTCTTTGACATAGATCTGAAGAGAAGTTTGTTTTGATAAGAAAATCAACCATTTGAGAAGGTTTAAAGGCTCTGAATACATTTCACAGAAACTAGGAGCAGACCATTAGGCCCTTCGATTCTATTCTGTTATTCAATATGATCATGGCTGATTGTCCATCTCTATGCCATATTCCACATATTCCACACAGTCCGCAGTCCTCTTGGGGCCTTTAATATCTAAGAATGTATCTCTTTCTTGAATATACTCAGGTGACCCAGCTTCCACAGCCCTCTGTGTAGAGAATTCCACTTTGAGCGAAGAAATGTTTCCTCACCTCAATCCTGTATGGCTTATTCCATTTCCTGAGACTGTAAACTCTGGTTCTAGATTCTCCAACCAGGGGAAATATCCACCCTGTATCTGTTAAAATTTTATATATATCAAAAATCAATCTCCTTTAATTTTTCTAAACTAAATTCTAATGAATTTCATAGATAGAGGTTTTTTTTTATTACCAAGTGTGTGAATGGTTGCAAACAATTCAATTGTTAGAACTTTTGTTTTCATCTGTACATGGTTCCTGAGGGCTGTCCATGGGAATAATTGGTGCAGGATTATTGCAGTTACATGGGAGATACAAGTGAGTATAGGGTATGGGTAGAGCCACAAGGGTAGGTGTAAAAAGGGTGGCTGAGGAGGATGCAAGGGTAAGTTCCAGACAACAGGGGCAGGCCTACTAACCAGCTTGCCTCAGTACTCATCCATCCCCACAGCTACTTAGAATAGCCTTTTTTTTTGCTGACTCTGCCCCATCCATCCACCTCAGTCAAAACGGACCTAAAGAGGGCCATGTAAAACAAGTCAGATCTGCCAAGGCAGCAAATTTCCTGGCTCAAACTACCCACCTTGGAGGTAGAGCAAGTCCAGCCCTACAGGTGCACACAAGGTGCAGACAAGTCAATAGGGAAAGCTCATCATAAGCATCAACCTGTTCCTTTCCCCTGTTTATGTGCTATGCCAGGTTCAATAAAAGAAGAGAACAATCAGTTCATCGAAATAGCTTAATAATACAAGGCAACAGTTAAAGTTTAAAATATAAATGCAAGGTAGAAAGAGGGGAAAATTGTAAAAAATACCAAATGATGCAGCATCACTTGTTAAGTTAAACACAGTACCTGTAAATAGAGACATTTTCTATGAGTTCATTGGTTATTGTGTCCTGTAACATTATCCCCCGAGGTGAAACAGTTAGGGTAACTTTGAGGAATTTCTTTCCACTTGCTTTTGCCTAGAAACAATCAAGTAAAAAATGAAAATTACTGTAATATTACAGTGTCAGGCTACTCAAAAAGGACAAATAACTAGGTAATCCAGTTAATATTCTTTATAATATACATATCACCAGTTAAAATTTGACAATTTAGAAACTATATTTTCTCGCACAAGCACCCAATGAATGTGAAAAAGTGTTGCTTTATACTTAACAATGATCTACCGGAATAGAATGTAGTGCTATGAGATGGCTAAACGCTTGGTCAAGGAAGCATATTTTTAAGGAGCAACTTAAAGCACTGATAAAGAGGTAGAAAAGTGGAGAGGTTCAGGAAAGGAATTCCAGCACTTAGGACTTGGGTAACTGAAGAAGCAGCCACAAATGGAAGAATAAAGCTTGGGATTTGTAAGAAACTAGAAATCAGAGGTGAGCAGATGATTGTTGGATTGGAGGATGTTGTGGTGATAGGATGGGTAAGGCCATAGAGGGAATCCAAAAAAAACAACAACACTTCCAAATACTTTTAAGGGCCAACGAGAGTAGGCAAAATGGTGTTCTGTAAATTCAGTCTTTCATTAATGAATATAGCATAGCTGACAAGTAAGCATTACACATTCAGTAACAATTATCTACAACAGGAAGCACCCACACATTTCAAAATGAAACAGAACATTATATTTGAATAACTGTTGGTTTATTCAGAAACACACGTGTATCCTTTCAAATCTATGGTACTAACTGGTTGCTAAATAGTACATTAACTGCTTTAAAATGTGTTTTCTTTTGAAGGGGCGATTATTTGCTAAGGATGAATCCATTAACAGGAGATGCAGTTGCTCTGTGGTATCTTGTCAAAGTACCTGTTTTTCACATCTGGTCTAAGTGAAGTGTTAGCTGTACAGTACTTAAACACAAGGCATCACATGATACCAGACTTTTCACCCGCTCTGTCACAGTTCCTTGTGACAAACCTCAAGTGAAATGGCAGGTTTTGAACTACCATGGGTGACAGCAGTCCTTGCTAAACAGGTTCATGTCAAGCTGGAGCTCTGTCCAGCCAACCTCCATTAAGGTTTCATTACAAACCCCAACTGCACTTTTGAAGAGAATCATAGAATGCTGCATATGACCAAAGAGTGTCCTCTCTACAGACTAACTGACAGACTGATTGTTTTTTAATTCAGCAAATGAGGAGGTCATTACCTGGTTTTGAGGATTTGCATTCAGTAAATAAAATCGTGTACACACACGCGTCACCTATGCAGCACGCAGTATTAAATAACGTTAGTCCTCATTGCACACTCCAAGTGTTACTGATATATTACAGTTGTGCCCCACAATTAAGCAACATTTGACATTACCACTTTCTGGTCAATATGGGACTATGCCAATGCTGCCAGGTGATTATATTTTGGATATTTTTCAGGTCAGAGAAAGGTTTGTAATGGGAGTTTCCCAGGCAACATTAGAACCTTGCTTTTTCCTGAAGTATATTAATGTTCTGGATCTTGGTGTTAATGGAGCAACTTCAACGTTTGCGGATGATATGAAACTTTGAAGCATTGTAATCTCTAAGGTGGACAGTGTAGAACTCAAAAGGTCATGGACAAGCTGGTGGAGAAGGCAGATAAATTTCATGATATGTGATATTTCATGAGATATGAGAGATGATGCATTTTGGTAGGAACTACTGAGACAGAATGTAAAACAGAGTGTACAGAAGGTGAAGGAGCTAAAGAACCCGGGTGTATACATGCACAGATCACTAAATGTGGAGACAGCAGGCAATAAAGCATCCTGAATCCTGTTTTTTTATTAATTGGGTTTTGGGTACAAGAGTAAGGACAATGTGTCGGATTTATACAAGATGCATTTTAGACCTCAGCTAGAGTACCACGTAAACTTCTGGGTGCCAAACTATAGACTATAGCATTGGACAGACTACAGAAGAGATTTACTACACATGATTCCAGGGATGACAAACTTCAGTTACATGGATATATTGGAGAGGTTAGGATTGTTGTCCTTGGAGAGAAGGCGGCTTAGAGGAGTTCTGTCAGAAGCTTTGAAAAATCATTAGGGGTCTGAATAGATTAAATAGGGAGAAACTGGTCCTATTCACAAAAGATTTGAGAACGCGAGGTCACACATTTAAATTGATGTGTAAAAAAAAGCGAACGTAATGCGTGAAAAAGAAAACATTTTCACTTGAATGGTTCAGGTCTGGAATGCACTGTATGTTGGAGGCAGAGACAATTAAGGTATTCAAAGGCCATTGGATGATTATGTGAACAAAAATAATTTGGAAGGGTATGGGAAAATGCAGACGAATGGCACTAAGTCATAATCTTCATTGGAGAGACTTTACAGACACAGTGAACCAAATGGCCTCCCCTTCTGTGATGTAACAATTTACATGATTACGTGCTTATCCAGATTATCTGGCTCCCAGTCCAACAACATCCCAAACTTCAAACCTTTCCTGTGTGTTAAATATAGACATTCCACCTCTAGAATACAAATTCAAATCAACCCCAATAGATGTGATTGAATGATCTCTTCCCGCTTCTTCGCAATTTGCATGTGGAATTTAAGCGTCACTGGCTGGTCCAGCATTTAATACCCATCCCTATTCCATAAAATCCACCCCATAGAGACTTGAAATTTATAAAACTGTATAAGCAATTAATTTCAGTTTTGGAAGCATGAAGTACAATTAGGAATATTGAAAGATGCAAACAACAGAGACAAGCTATTAGACGCAGGTAATGAGGCTGTATACTGTACACATTAATAAAATCAGTGTGGAAGCTGCCATCAGTTTGATTATCATATAATAATTTATGGCTTTTTATTTCAAATGTCAAATTCCTGCTTTTGTTATTTTGATGAAGTTGTGAATCCACTTAGTTGATTCTGCTGGTAACTTGCAACACCCTCAATTAAGAAATTGAGTTCCAAACCAATATTTGTCTTATTTATTCTCACAGGTAGTGCGACAAGAAACCAACTGATGTAAGCTGTGAAAATGTACATACGTATAAAGGAGGGATAGGAATAGGCTCCTCTGATGCTGCTTGGCCTGCTGTGTTCATCCAGCTCTACACCTTGTTATGTCATAGGAATAGGCCGTTTGGTTTCATTAGCCTGCTCCACCATTCAATAAGATTGTGGCTGAACAGATTGTATCCTGAAAGCCACATTCCTGTCTACTGCATAAAAAAAATCTACAACTCCTTTATTAAAAAACTTTCATTAAAACAATATTCAATGATTCTGCCTCCATTGCCCTGTGAAAAACAGAGTTGGACATGCATGACCCAGAGGGAAAAAAGTTTTCCTCTATGTCTCAAATGGGAAGCCCCTTATTTTGAAGGTGTCTCCCCGGTCTCAGTCTCTTCTGCCAGAGGAAACATCCTTTCAGAAACAATTCCCCTCAGGATCTTGTATGTTTCAATAAGATCACCTCATTCTTCAAAACACCAAGAGACTTAAGCCTTCCCAATCTTTCCTCATCAGATATCCTCCTGGCTGTCAGTCAACATGAAATGTACATAAAAACGGATTCAGAACAGAAAAATCACTTGGAAAGACAGAAGTACATAATGTGCCACTATTAAATGTAGTTGATATGAGCTCAGATTTAGTAATTTTCAGGTTTTTTTGCATTAATCAGGGCAAGAATGACACCTCATCATCCCTGAATATACAGCTTTCAGGCAAGATAATGAAGAAAATTAAAAAAAAAGGTGGAGGTAGAGCATTATTGGTTAAAGAATCAAGCATAGCAGAGAGAGATTATATACTAAATGAAGCATCAAACAAGGCCATGTGGATTATGCTTAGAACAAAAGGAGCAGCCATACTGTTAGAGGTGTACAAATATGTAACCAAATTTCTGAGAGCAGAAAAATATAACAATAATAGTTAAGGATTTCAATTACCCAAATATTGACTGGAATACTACAAAGGGCACACAATTCTTGAACTGCATTCCAGAGAACTTTTTTAGCCAGCATGTAACAAACCTAATGTGAGATGGTGCAATCTCAAATGAAGAAGAAAATCATTTTCTGAAGAAGGGTCTAGGCCCGAAACGTCAGCTTTCCTGCTCCTCTGATGCTGCTTGGCCTGCTGTGTTCATCCAGCTCTACACCTTGTTATCTCAGATTCTCCAGCATCTGCAGTTCCTGCTATCTCTGCTGCAATCTTCTATTTAGTCTGAGGAAATGAAACAGGGCTAGTGATTGAACTAGTGGTGGGTGGCCTTCCAACTGTGCTCATAATACACTATGTTTAGCATCATTATCAAAAGGGCAAAAATCAGTCAGGAATAGAAGTTTTAAACTGGAAGAAAGGCTACTTTACAAATCTGTGGTGAACTGGCAAAAGTGGACGGGGTGCAGCTACTTGAGAGGAAGGCAGTGACAAATTAGTGAAAGGCATTCAACTGTAAGGATCGACAGACACAAAAATTAAAGGATGATACTGCCAAATCTAGAGTCCCACAATTCTTCAGAAGAACAATGCAAGATACAGCAGGAATATTAAACTTATGACAGTTTTAAAAAACAGTAATACTTGAGGAAGCTTAGAGTAGTATAGAAAGCAGAGTGATGAAGTGAAAAAGGAAATTAGGAAAGAAAAAATAGAGCAAAATAAAGTATTGGCTGGCAAATTAAGGAAAACCCAAAGGTATTTTATCAGTACATTAACAGCAAGAGGATAACTAGGGAAGGGTTAGGCCTGAGGGCTGTATATGGTAACTTGTGCATAGATGCAGAAAATGAGGGCAAGGTTCTTAATGAGAATTTTTCCTCTGGCTTCATAAGGAAGAAAGACAATGCAGACATACTAGCTCAAGAGGATGACTATGGAATATTAGATAAGCTTGAGGCAGAAATACTGGAGAGATTGAATTCTGTGAAGATGGAAAAATCAACAGGACTGGATGAATTGAATTCTTGGCTGTTAAAGGAAGTAAAGGAGGAAATAACAGGTGCTCGGTGGATTGATTTCCAAATCCTAGATACAAATGAGGTATCAGAGAACTGAAGATCTGCAGATATTGTACCATTATTCAGAAACACTACAAACAATAGGCCAAATAATTATAGGCGAGTCAAGCTAGCATCAATGATGGGCAAATTAACAAAATCAATATTGAAATAAAGGATAAATGGTCACTCAAAGGCATGTATTAATATGGATAGCATGCTTTTAAGGGAATGTTGTGTCGTACTAACTTAATTGCCAAAGTAACAAGGTGGATTGATGGGGCTAATGTGGTGGATGAGGTCTACATTGATCTTAGTAAGGCATTTACAAGGTTGCACAGGGCAGACTGGTCGGAAAAGAAAAGTGCATGGGACATAGGGCGATTTGGATCCAAAATTAGCTCGGTGACAGGAAATAAAGGGTAATGATCATCAGATAATTTAGTGAATAGAAAGCAGTTTCCAGTGGTGTTCGACAGGGTTTAATATTAGGCCCCTTGCTGTTTATGGTATATACTAATGATTTATGCTTTAATGTGGGAGGCATGATTTGGAAATTTGCAGACAACACAAAAGTTGGCTGGGTAGTTGATATTGAAGAGGATGGTTGTTTGAGTGGCCAGAAGTATGGCAAATGGATTTCAATTCAGAAAACTAAAAGGTTATGTATTTGAGGAGGGCAAAAAAATAAAAAAAATAAAAATAAATTAAAAAATCGGAAGAAGACAAAAGAAATGGGAGATAGGAAGTAAGTAACCTTGAAGTGAATGTTCATAGATCTCTGAAGGTGGCAGGATGAACAGGTAAGTTAAAAAGGACAGACACGTAAAAAGAACTAAACAGGATGCTTTCTTTCATAAGGCAATGTATTAAACATAAAAGCAAGATGTAATATTGGAATTGTACAAGACACTGATTAGGCCATGGGCAGGGGTTTTAGTGTACAGACCTGATCATTACATTATAAGAATTATACTTCAGAGAGAGTACAAAGGAGATTCACAATATTTCTGGAGCTTGAAAACTGTAGCTACAATGAAAGATTGGATAGGCTAGGATCATTTTTGTGAGAAAAGAGGTGACTGAAGGATGATGTAATTGAAGTGACAAAATAATAAGGGGCTTCGATAAGAGTGGACAGGGAAGGCCTGTTTTTCCTAGTGGGGAGGCCAATTACAGAGGGCACAGATTTAGGGTGATTCGTAGAAGGATTGAAGAGAAATGAAGAAAGTATTTTTCACCCAGATGATTATATAATGTTCAGCACCATTCGTGACTCCTCAGATACTGATGCAGTCTGTATCCAAAATGGACAAAGGCCTGGACAATATCCAGGATTAGGTTGATATGTGGCAAGTAACATTTGCTACACAAGTGCCATGCAATGTCACCTTCAACAAGCAAGAATCTAATCATCACTTTGACATTCAATGGCATTACCATCACAATCTCCCACTATCAACATCCTGGGGTTACCATTGATCAGAAACTGAACTGGAATAGCTCTATAAATATTGTGGCTACAAGAGCAAGTTACAGGCTAGAAATCCTGGAATGAGTAACTCCTGACTCCCCAAAAACTGCCCCTCAGCTTCAAAGGCACAAGTCAGGAGTGTGATGGAATACTCCCCAACTGCCTGGATGGGTGCAACTTCAACAATGCTCAAGAAGCTTGACACCATTCAGAATAGAGCAGCCTGCTTGATTGGCACCACATCCACAAACATCGACTCCCTCCACCATTGATGCCCAAAGTGGCAGTGTGCAATATCTAAAAGATGCACTGCATAAATTCATTAAAGATCCTTCGAGAGCACCTGCCAAGCCCATGACCACTTCCAAGTAGAAGGACAAGGGCAGCAGATATATGGGAACACCACCACTTCCAAGTTCCCCTCCAAGCCAATCACCATCTTGATTGGAAACAGTCATTCCTTCAGTGTCACTGGGTCAAAATCCTAGAACTCCCTAAGGGCATTGTGGGTCAACCTACAATACATAGGCTGCAATGGTTCAGGAATATAGCTCACTACCACCTTTGCAAGGGCAAAAAGGGATAAGCAATAAATGCTAACCCAGCCAACAATGCCCACATTCCATCAACGAACAAACAAAAAGTTTGGATCTGGAATTTA